TCGTTACTCAGGGACACAGAATTGTTACTCAGGGACACAGAATTGTTACTCAGGGACACAGAATCGTTACTCAGGGACAGACACAGAATTGTTACTCAGGGACACACAGAATTGTTACTCAGTTACACAGGGACACAGAATCGTTACTCAGGGACACAGAATCGTTACTCAGGGACACAGAATCGTTACTCAGGGGACACAGAATTGTTACTCAGGGACACAGAATCGTTACTCAGGGACACAGAATGTTACTCAGGGACACAGAATCGTTACTCAGGGACACAGAATTGTTACTCAGGGACACAGAATCGTTACTCAGGGACACAGAATCGTTACTCAGGGACACAGAATTGTTACTCAGGGACACAGAATTGTTACTCAGGGACACAGAATTGTTACTCAGGGACACAGAATCGTTACTGAGGGACACAGAATTGTTACTCAGGGACACAGAATTGTTACTCAGGGACACAGAATCGTTACTCAGGGACACAGAATTGTTACTCAGGGACACAGAATCGTTACTCAGGGACACAGAATCGTTACTCAGGACACAGAATCGTTACTCAGGGACACAGAATCGTTACTCAGGGACACAGAATCGTTACTCAGGGACAGACACAGAATTGTTACTCAGGGACACAGAATTGTTACTCAGGGACACAGAATCGTTACTCAGGGACACAGAATCGTTAATCGTTACTCAGGGACACAGAATCGTTTACTCAGGGACACAGAATCGTTACTCAGGGACACAGAATTGTTACTCAGGGACACAGAATCGTTACTCAGGGACACAGAATCGTTACTCAGGGACACAGAATTGTTACTCAGGGACACAGAATTGTTACTGAGGGACACAGAATTGTTACGTTTTACTCAGGGACACAGAATCGTTACTCAGGGACACAGAATCGTTACTCAGGGACACACAGAATTGTTACTCAGGGACACAGAATCGTTACTCAGGGACACAGAATTGTTACTCAGGGACACAGAATCGTTACTCAGGGACACAGAATTGTTACTCAGGGACACAGAATCGTTACTCAGGGACACAGAATCGTTACTCAGGGACACAGAATCGTTACTCAGGGACACAGAATCGTTACTCAGGGACACAGAATCGTTACTCAGGGACACAGAATTGTTACTCAGGGACACAGAATCGTTACTCAGGGACACAGAATCGTTACTCAGGGACACAGAATCGTTACTGAGGGACACAGAATCGTTACTCAGGGACACAGAATTGTTACTCAGGGACACAGAATTGTTACTCAGGGAATTGTTACAGAATTGTTTACTCAGAGGGACACAGAATCGTTACTCAGGGACACAGAATCGTTACTCAGGGACACAGAATCGTTACTCAGGGACACAGAATCGTTACTTTCTGCTTCACAACCACTATTGTTACGTTCAAAGAGTTAAATCCTGTTTTATGTTTGGGGTGCTTATTGAATTAAAGAGTATGTCAGACAACACGCAGAGGAGTGGCAGAGGAGGCAATGTTTTTCAGGAGCGAGCAGACGTGGCAGCAGAGGAAGGGGTCGAGGCAGCACTAGTCGCAGCCAGAGGCCAGTGCTCCCGGTGTCATCCAGCGGTCGTGTCTCCACCGACAACCCTGCCGTCATCGATTGGTTGACTCGGTCGTCTTCCTCTTCCCAGGTCACCTCTGACACCTACAGCCAACGGTCGGTGGGTACGTCAGACACAACCGTTAGTTGGCATGGCCCGGGAGCAAGCCCACTGAAATCACGTGTCCTCTACCTGCCCCTGTCCTTTGGTGTTCCCTCACCAAGCGAAGTATCGCATGCTGTGGGCTCAGCCCCACTGTACAGTGAGGAAGAGCTAACAGAGGGCGGTCAGGAACGGGGGGAGACATCCGCCTCTTCAGCAGCCAGGCGAAGAAGTACTGGCGAGGAGAGTGGCTCGGTAGCCGTCTAGAGACAGGTCTGTCTCCTGACCCACACGCAGCCGAGGGGGCTAGTAGTGAGGCGGAGACCCTAATTGATGATGATGAGGCTGATCGCACTTGGCAGCCTCGTCGTCATCAGGCTATTGCTTCCGCATCATCAGGAGAAGAGGGTGCCAGCTTGGCAGCGAGCAAAACAGTCGGTGGGTTGCCCAGGAGGCAGCAGGGTCGCAGCAGTGTCAGTGGAGGCAAACGGCCACGGAGTAGAGCACCAGCTCCACTGCAGCCTACCACCACGTCCAGTAGTGGTGCCGGTGTGCACGGAGGAAGTAGCAGTCAGCCAGTGAGGAGTAGCGGGGGCAAAGTTTCCTACTCGGCGGTGTGGCAATTTTTCGTCAAGCCGCCAGCCGAGGAAGTAAACGTAGCCGTATGTCGACTATGTGGCCAGAAAGTCAAGCGTGGCCAGGGGGCCCATGTTGGGACTACAGCGTTGCGTCAGCATATGCAGCGTCGCCATTCCATTCGGTGGCCTGGGAAAACCGTGATAAAGATACGGCGGTTCTGCCTGCCCCAGCCCCCGCTCCATCACCCGCTCCGTACTTGCTCCGTCACCCGACGTCAATCGCCCTCTATCAGCCAGTCAAGGCTCCAACACCTCTGCTGAGGGGAGTTGTCGCTCGTTGGCATCTTCCGCTCGTTCAGATGCTCCTTCTCCTGCTACTCCTCTTCACGGATTCCGTCAGCAGTCTTTCTTGGAATCCGTTTCCAAGAGACAACAGTTTGCGAGCACGCACCCGACGGTGCAGAAGCTGAACGTCCTCCTGTCCAAGTTGCTGGTGCTGCAGTCCCTCCCTTTCCAAGTGGTGGACTCAGCACCTTTCCGAGAAATGATGGCTTGTGCCGAGCCGCGGTGGAGAGTGCCAAGCCGGCATTTCTTCGCCAAAAAGGCAGTGCCAGCCCTGCATTCACATGTAGAAGAGATGGTGGGCCCAGTCTTTGAGCATGTCGGTCTCTGCCAAAGTGCACGGCAGCGCCGACGTGTGGAGCTGTAACTACGGTCAGGGACAGTACATGTCATTTTACGGCCCACTGGGTGAACGTGGTGCCGGCACAGCCGCACCAGCAACTTGGACAGGTCACGCCGCTTTTGCCTCCACGTTTGCACGTCCTTGGTCCAGCAAAGATGTCCGCCTCTACCACCTCTCTTCTTCCGCCCGTGTCCTCAGCCGCCACCCCCGTGCCAAGTCCCATTACCCGACCGGCATATCACATGTGCAGGGCGCAACGGTGTCACGCTGTGCTGCACCTGGTATGCCTTGGCGAACGTAGTCACACAGGGGAGGAACTTCTGAGTGTAATGAACAGAGAAATCGACAGATGCTGTCTCCGCGCAAACTGAAAATCGGAACCATGTTGACCGACAACGGAAAGAACATGGTGTCTGCTCTGCGTCAAGGAAGGTTGTGCCATGCGCCATGCATGGCTCACTGTTTCAATCTGGTTGTCAAGCGGTTCCTAAAATCCACCATCCCACTGCAAGACATCCTTAAAATGTCACGTAAACTTGCATGCATATTTCAGCCTTCCTACACCGCAAAGCACACCCTCCTTGAGCTGCAGCGGCAGAACGGAATTCCACAGCATCGCCTGATCTGCGACGTTGCAACAAGGTGGAATTCAACCCTACACATGTTAGACCGCCTTTACGAACAGCGAAAGGCCATCACCGATTTCCTGATGTTACAAGCGGATAAAGGTACTCCCCTGTGTAACTTAGATGTCAGCCATTGGCAGCTCATGCGTGACACCTGCCGCTTGCTCAGGCCCTTTGAGGAGGCCCACGCTATTCGTGTGAGAGTCGGCAGGACTATGGGATGAACGACGTCATTCCTCTGTTGCACGTCCTGGAACAAATGCTGTTAACAATGGCTGGTCAGGGTGCGGTAGACGTGGCGCACAGATCTCAACGCCACATGACCCCTGTGGGGGCAGGACAGGAAGAAGAGGAGGAGGTAAGAGGAGACATTGGTGCTACAGGAATTATTGAGTGAAATGGGTGGTTTTTTCCACTCAGCGACAGGAGTGGAGGAGCAGGAGCATCTGGTAGAGGAGGAGGAGGAGACAGAGGACCCAGACGCACCGTGGCAGTTATGCTGTGGAGATGGAGGCAGGGAGTCCCTCGCATTCCTTGGCACAAATGGCCCATAGCAATTGCTCGGTTGCTTTGCGTAGCGACAGCCGAATAATAACCATCAGACAGAGGGATGACTTTGGTCTGTCCACCTTGTTGGACCCTCGCTAAACTACCGTTCAAAAATGGTGGCCTTTTTCACACCTGCTGAGAGGGAGGCCAAAATAATCGTACTATAAAAACCACCTATGTAGTCAGTATGGTCTCTGCCTTTCTGCGCCAACGTCCATCCTCAGCACTGTGGGCCCTGTGCGCTCATCGCGTTCCGCTGCCATGGCAGCAGGGGAGGGGTGGGGTGGTAGGAGCAGTGGCAGCTCCACCACAGCGGCTGCCTCAGTCTGCAGTCGATGATGAGTAGCTTCTTCACCAGCGCAGTGAGGAAACTACTAACCAGACCGAAGCAGCAGCAGCATCGGGTGGACCTGGAGCAGGACCTCAAACAACAGGCTTAGGGCCTACTTGGACAAGACACCCTGCCAACCGAGGTAGACAATCCCCTTTGACTACTGGGCAAACGAAACTTGACCTTTGGCCCCAACTAGCTGAATTTGCCCTTGAAAGGCTGTCATGCCCGCCAGTAGCGTGGCATCGGAGCGCGTGTTTTAGTGCAGCAGGTATTGTAACTCCGCAGGAGGACACGACTGTCCACCCAAAGTGTGGAGAGACTCACGTTTGTGAAAATGAATCAGGCGTGATTAGTCCTGGATTTCAAACCACCAGTTTCCTGACACAACTGACTAAAATCCGCCATGAATCATGCCCCAAACATGTTATTATTATTTTTAACATAGGCCTCTGTATGGCCTTCAATTTAAGCTGCTTTACGCTTCGCCACTCTGCCATGGGCCCCTGTACCGCCTCCTCTTGCTGCTGCCAGGTCCAGAGTGTGTCATGGGTCCCTGTACGGCCTCCCATTGCTGCTGACCTTCATCGCCAGACTCTGCCATGTGCCACTTTCAGGTCTCCTTACACTGTTGGTGGGTTCCATTTTGTGATAGGGTGCTGTAATGGCCTTCACCATTGCGCTGCCCCCTCCACCGGCCACCCCCTGCGCCATGTGCCTCTGATACGTCTGCTCACGCTGCTGACTCCCAAGCTTCCCGCTTTTTAACCGAGGCCTGTTTTGCTTCCGAATACTGCTGGCCTCCATCCGCCACCCTGCGGCCATGTGCCTCTGTCGTCTGCTCACGCAGCTGACGGCTCCTCTTTTTTAACCGAGGCCCTAGTGTTTGGCTTCCGAATACTGCGCATCCACCGCCCGCCTACTGCTGCTGCCAGGCACCGTAATCTGTCATGGGCCCCTGTACCGCCTCCTCATGCTGCTGCCAGGTCCAGAAGTGTGTGTCATGGTCCCTGTAACGGCCTCCCATTGGCTGCTGTCTCCATCGCCACACTCCTGCCATCTCTCTGCCACTTTCAGGTCTCCTCACACTGCTGGAGGGTTCCATTTTGTCATAGGGTGCTGTATGGCCTCCCATTGCTGCTGCCTCCACCGCCACACTGTGGCTCCACACTCTGGTTTTGGCCCGTGACTGCCCCAATGATGAAGTGTGCGGTGATTCTAAAGATCGACGGCACTCATCTGCATGTCCATACTGACTGTCAGTATTATTTCTCTTCCCCAGCAGACTCCAAGGGCATTTAAATTTAAAGGTACAGTGTTCTGCACTAATATAAAGGCTCTCTGAAGCCTAGAAACACCCTTTTTTTTATAAGTTTAAATTCGCAGCGAATATATTCGCCTCGAATCTAATTTAACAGAACTTCCGCGAATCGGCAAATCACCCGAATTGAACCCACGAATTTTTTGAATAATTCGCTCATCTCTAATTACAATTCATAATCCACAATCCGTATGAGGTTTTTTGATGGTATATGGGCTACTGAAGAGTTAGTTGTGTGATCATATTGGAAACTTCTATTTCACAAAATTTTCACAGTGTCTCTGTTGATCACTACTCATGTCACCATAGTGCAGCTCACAAATTAATTTTAGAAGTCTTTTCTAATCTGTTATATAAAATATTTTATATTCTATTCTAATGAATTTTGTTGAAATTCAAATTCATTCTATTCAAAATCCAAATTTTCACGCGGATGGCATTTATATTCCTATTTTAATTCTATTCTATTGTTGTTATCTACTATTCTATTCTATCCCTTTTGATTCTCTATTCTAATATTTCTATTCTTTTCTATTATAGTCTTTGATTTTTCAATTCTATTCTAATTTTGTCTATTCTATTTGATTCTATTCTATTCTTTGATTTTTTTATTTTAATCTTTTCTATTTTTTATTCTTTTTTCTATTCTAATCTTTTTTTTATTCTATTCTAATGGATTCTATTCTTTCTATTCCTTTATTTTATATTCTTTTTGTTCTTTTTTTTCTTCCACGTTTGCTTTATAGTGTATTCTGTTGTATCAATTATTTTAGTAAGTATAAACTGCTAAAATACCTTTTCTCATCAGCAGTATATAGCAGTCTTGTGACTTCTATCAGTGTTCAGCAGAGCACTGGTTAAAGTTTGTAGGAGGAGTTTTCATTCTGCTCTAGCAGGATGCAGAACCCCTGACCTCTGTCTGGGCAGTGCTGATTGGCCCTTTGCTGATCACATGCACTCTCACAAGAAAAAAGAAAAACTCTCTAGTAATACACACCATACTGAGCATGTGCAGAGTGTCTCCACACGATAATGTCTTTTCAGGAGATAAGAGGGAAACACTGGAAGAAGGGGAGGATCAGAGAAGTGAGGATCAAGCAGCATTTTTACACAATGCAGAGGATTAAACCCCATAGGTTCCACAATGATTATAACAAGCATGGTTTACTGCATATACAGACTGATTTTAATGTTGTGGGTTTAGTAACACTTTAAATCCAAATTCAGAGTAGATACAAAAAACACAAATGAATGCAAAGTTGTATTTATTAATACATGATAAAATTTTTTTTTTTTAAATTCAAAATATAGTTAACCACTTGTCTACTGGACAATTATACTCCCTTCATGCCCAGGCCAGTTTTTTTTAGCTTTCAGCTCTGTCGCACTTTGAATGACAATTGCACAGTCGTGCAACATTGTACCCATATGAATTTTTTTTATCATTTTTTTTTTCACACAAAGCTTTATTTTGGTGGTATTTAATCGCCTCTGGGTTTTTTATTTTTTGCAAAAAGAGCAAAAAATTTGAAAAAAAAAAAGGTTTTTCTTGTTTCTATTATAAATTTTGCAAACGGGTAATTTTTCTCCTTCACTAATGTGCGTTGATGAGTCTGCACTGATAGGCACTGATGAGGTGGCATGGATAGGCAGCACTGATGGGCACTGATATGCTGCACTGATGAGGTGGCACTTGATGAGGCTACACTGATATGCACAATCAGCAATGATGGTCACTGATAGTGGGCACTGATGGGCACTGATAGGTGGCACTAATGGGAAGTTACGGGCGGAACTGATTGACAGCACTGAATGGCAGCACTGACTGATGCCACTGATGGACACTGATGGGCACTGATAGGCGCAACTGATGGGCACCACTGGTGGGAGGCACTGGTGGATGGCACTGGTGGGTGGCACTGCAGGTCACTGATCATCAGGGCAGTGATCATCAGTGCCCTAATGATCCTTGTGCTGATCTGCTGTGTGACAGCTGCCGGTTATCGGCAGTACTTTCCTCATGCAGACACAGCAATCGCCCAAGATCGTCGGGTGCACGCGGGAGGGCATGTTCTAGGAACATCATATGAACTGGGTAACCGAGCTGTATCCATCATTCGGCTATTGCACAGTTACTAAGTGGTTAAGGTACACTCACCAGCCACTTTATTAGGTACATCTGTTCAATTGCTTGGTAACACAAATTGCAAGAAGTGACTTTGAACGTAGTCTGGTTGTTGGTGCCAGATGGGCTGGTCTGAGTATTTAAAAAACTGCTGATCTACTGGGATTTTCACACACAACCATCTCTAGGGTTTACAGAAAATGGTCAGAAAAAGAGAAAATATCCAGTGAGCTGCAGTTGTGTGGAGGAAAATGCCTTGTTGATATCACAGGTCAGAGGAGAATGGGTAGACTGGTTCGAGATGATAGAAATGCAACAGTAACTCATGTAAATATGGACCAAAATCTCAGGGGAATGTTCTCAGCCCCTTGTTGAATCTATGCCAGGAAGAATTAAGGCAGTTCTGAAGGCAAAAGCGAGTCCTACCCGGTAATAGCAAGGTGTACATAATAAAGTGGCTGGTGAGTGTTTTGACCCAATATCAGCCACTTGCATTCCCCTGGATAAGAGAGCTCGGAGTGAGGGAGATGATCACTCTGCTGCTTCTCCTTCTATGGTCCAATCACAAGCTTGTAAGGTGGGGTCTCTGTGATATATCCATACTTCTGGAAGAACCACAAGATAGATAGCTTGACACTTTTTTTATATAGTAGTGACACACAAAAAAGACTTAACCACTTGCCGTCCGCCTGCTGTTTATAAACGACCAGACGGTGGCACTCCAGGGGTGGGTTGCTGGTCATAAACGGCACCCACCTTTTCTAGCTCTGCGCGCTCCCTGGGAGCGCACACCACCGCGATCCGGTGCCCGCTGTGTCCTCCGGACACAGTGAAACACCGATCATCGGACGGGACCTCTGTACGAGAGGTCCCGATCATGTGATCACTGATTGGCCAATCAGTGATCACATGCAAAGTAGTAAGCAAGATGTCACTTGTGACATCCATGCTTACTACGTGTGAAATCTGTGAATGATCACAGAGGTCACATGGTACAGGGCTATTCACAACAGCGTTGTACCATGTGACAAGCTGTGAACAATCACAGCTCACTCAGTATTTCTCAATGGCTGCAAGAATGCAGACAGAGAGAAAGAGAAATGATTGCTTTTACATCCTATATGGGTGTAAAAGCAATCAGTGTAAAAAAAAAAAAAAAAAATCTTCATCACCCCTCACAAGTAGTACAGTGTCACCATGGTGACACTGTACTGCTAGGGTGACAGTATGTAAAAAAAAAAAAAAAAATAAAAAATAATAATATAAAAAAATAAAATAAAAATGTAAAAGAAAATGTTTAAAAATTATAATTTTTTGGTTATAAACTAATTTGGATTTTTTTTTTGTTTACTAAAAAGATAACAGAATACATTTTGGCCAAGATTTATGATGAAATATTATTTATTTGCAAAATTTTATTAAAAAAAAAACTTTTTTTCAAAATTTTTGGACATTTCATTTTCATTTACATAGCAAAAAAAATTAAAATCCCAGCGGTGAATAAATACCACCAAAATAAAGCTTTATCTATCTCAAAAAAATGGTAAAAAATTCATATGGGTACAGTATTGCATGACCGCGCAATTGTCATTCAAAGTGTGATAGCGCTGAAAGCTGAAAATTGCCCTGGACAGGAAGGGGGTGAAAGTGTCCGGACTGGAGGTGGTTAATAGACAATCAAAAAGGCACATTAGCACCATATAAGCTGTGCAGTATACCATTTTCATATTTGCAGAATTCTGAAATAGAAGTAGATATTACTCAACCATAATACAGAATCCCCTTTACAAATCCAGTGTGCCAGATGAGTGCTCCATTAGAGAGGTGCTGATGAGGTGAACTGAACTAGGTTATGCTTGGGTGTAGTGGTAGATACTGCCAAAGGACTGGTACATCGGGAACGCCCTGAAATGGAAGCCTAAATGTCTGCTTGCCTAGAACCTCTTCCTACTTCTGCATTTATGCTTTCACTACCCAGCAGAGCTGTATAACTTTCTTCTGCCTCACTGTAGCTTGCCCAATGACATTGGTGCCTATATTTATAGGATGTTTCATCAAAATGGCAGACAAGATCTTGTTGGACATCGGTATCCAATAGGATCGCCTTCCTTCGCTAAGATGGCCACCCCAAGATAAGAGACATTTCTGTTTCTCAGAACTCCAGTCAACATGAAGAAATGGTACAGTGCGACCTTCAGCTTGGAGGAAGTACCTGCACCTACCTGCAAGTTGGGAAAGGATACAGTAAGGGGGAAGTATTATGGAACTATAGCAGAGAAAAAATCAGGTCCCCTGCCAGACAGGTCTGCACCATGAGCCAGTAATGTGTAAGGTTCAAGACTGAATAGACAGAAATATATAATAGTTTGGCAGAATATTTGCTATATACAGTGGGGAAAATAATTATTTTATCCCCTGCAGATTTAGTATGTTTGCCCACTTACAAAAAATGAAGGGTCTATCATTTTTTTATCATTGGTGTATTTTAAATGATAGAGACTGAAAATTAACCAAAAATCCAGAAAAAACACATGATACAAATGTTATAAATTGAGTTGCAGTTCAGTGAGTAAAATAAGTATTTTATCCCATAGCAAAACATGACTTAGTATTTGGTGGAGAAACCCTTGTTGGCAAGCACAGATGTAAGACGATTCTTGTAGTTGGTTATCTGGTTTGCGCACATCTCAGGAGGGGTCTTCACTCTCATCTCCATCTCCTCTCTTCTCTACAGTAGTTCTCTAAATCCTTAAGGTTTCTTGTCTGTTGCTTGGCAACTTGAAGTTTCAGCTCCCTCCATTAATTTTCTATAGGATTAAGGTCTGGAGACTGGCTAGGCCATGTCATAACTCTAATTTTCTTCTATTTGAGCCACTCCTTTGTTGCCT